AAGGGGTCTGATTTGGCCCGTCGAACGACCAAAAGTACAAGCATGCGAGATAGAAGAGCACAAAGAAGAGACGTACAAATCCAACCGAACAATGAAAATGTACGTGTGAACATGGTGCGATTGCGTGAGGCACAAGCTGAACAAAATCAAATAAGACGATTAGAAGCGCGTCAATTCGTAGTTGACACACGCAGAGCAAATGACCGACAACGCCAACAAGTACATAGAGCATTTACATCCAATTCATTCCTTCGTCTAGCATTCGATTATGGGCCCGATATTGAATATTACGCTCATTCGAAAGTAGAGATTGGTGCTATGGACAAGGAATGTCCGCATTGTAATGCGCTTAAGTTCAAAAAATGAGCCAGCCGGTATGTGTTGCGCGTCAGGAAAAGTGAAACTACCGGAAATTAAAACACCACCTGAACCATTGAACGGTTTACTTATCGGTACGGATCCAGATTCTAACCTGTTCCTGAAGTCAATTCGAAAATTCAATTCATGTTTCCAAATGACATCGTTCGGAGCAACAGAAATAATTAAAAATAATTCTGCAAATGGTCAACAATTTAATTCAACATTCAAAATCAAAGGCCAAGTTTATCATAGAGTGGGCTCATTGCTACCAATGCATAACGAACCACATAAATTTTTACAAATTTACTTTATGGGCTGTGAGGACTCCGAAAGCGCACTTGTCAATCGCGTGGATGCACGTTGTAGTTACAATAACCTTAATTCACCTTTTGCCAGACGCATCGTCGGTGATCTGGACGCTTTATTAAATGAGCACAATAATTGTTGAAATTATTCAAATCACACATGCACAAATTACAAAGTGACAATCACGCAATTGTCATCAAACCTGATAAAACACCAGCTGGAGAGCATATTCGTAAATTCAATGTTCTATCCTTAATCCCGAGGGTTATTAATTATTATTATTGACATTATATGAATATTAATTTGACATTCTAAATAATTTACTATACGCTATGATCTCCAAAACCACTAATAAACTACAAATAAAAAAAAAATAATTATTTTCTCATAGGTACATAATAACTAATAAGTAATACCTAACACCTATACACGGCCTACAAAAATACCAAAAAACAAACTAATACGCGGGCAACGCCGTGTCGGGACAGCTAGTGATCAATAAAAAAAATAATAAATATCGAAACTACCTCATAGTTATGATAATAGCGTAACTTTCTGGTTAACATCTTTTCCTAAAGGTAGAATCATTTTTATKGAATCTTCTATCAAATTTTTTTATGTTGGCTATGAAATTAAATTTTTTATAAATTTCTAACTGAAAATAATTTACAATATTTTAAATATTTATCATGGCTTCAGATACTCATTTACTCTGGATTTGAAACGACTTTTTTCAATTTCCATCATGTATATCTACTAACATATTTTTAGATTTATACCAAGAACAAAAATTCTGATTAGAATTAACTAGATTCATTTTTCCGCCAGAAAATATGCTGAAGCACCGAAAAATATTAAAATCGAAACATTATTTTGACTACTGGTCGTGTACAAAAGACATAAAAAGAAAAACATACAAAATTTCAAAAGCAATACATTCATCTCTCCACTCAGAATCTACAACACCTATAAATTGATTGTTTTCATTCATTGTATTCCTACAAAAAAACCACCATAGTGGTAGAAATAAGTTTCAAAAGTGCTCGTATAGATATATAAACCACGGGGGGAGCAAAATCAAATGTATGTCTGATAAACGTAATATTATTTTTATATATGTATACATATAAAAGTATTTTTACTAGTTATAAAACAATTAATATTAAGTAAAAATGTGGAGGGAGGGTCACATGTCCTACACAGCAATCCTATGGGTGCCCTTATCGAAAAAGATAAATTGGAATTGTAATAATCGACCAGAGAATTCAGATATGGCACTTTTCTCAAGATAATTTTACCCTAACTATATAACTTATAGTAAAACGTTTTTTCAAGATGATCAAAAAGTTGTAAATTATTATTAAATGATAAACGTTATTCGAAATTAACGTACTTCCTTTGGAAAGTAAATGTTTATAGTTTTGCTTAATAATTGGAAGTTTGTATCAGAAAGTTGGTGGGCTTAAATTTGAATGGACCCTGATTTAATGCAACTTAGGGTGGTTATAATTAAGTTAGACACATCTGACGGGTTGTATTAAAGATATTCAACAAGTTGATATGTCACTTTGTCAAGTTTGTTTAATAGACACACGAGAGTGTGAAACGGGCTTAGGTTTAAATTAACCCATGAATTGTTCATGAGATTACTATTTATACTTATTTGTCATAATATATCATTTTAGTATCAGTTTTTTTTAAAAATTATTTTATTATAAAGTGTTCCTGACATACAAGGTCATCAAACTTATTGATTAGATAATAGAACATTTAACATTTAGAATTGTTAAGCGTAATTAATTACTGTAACATTTGTTGCACCTTATATATATATTATACCCACTCTTAACACACACTATATGATTGAACAATACATAATATACACACTCAACACTTTTCTATCCGTGCACATAATTACTTATTATAAAAATGACACACAGCAGTTAGTTTTACAGTCACCATAAACAGGAGCGAACTCACTCAATACACTTATTAACAGCCATCTACATTAGTAAAGCATTATTTTTAATATAATAATATAATAATATTAATATAGGTCTATAAACCAAACTATTATTGATAAAATACCTCATACACAGTGCTCTAACCCCCAGCTACGGAAAACTTATCCATAAGGAATAGAAAACCTTCCCTGGATAACTAATATCGTAACAAGGTCCTCCGACCACGTTGCATTACAATATTTACAACAAATTTCAGTAATTTACATCGATAAATAAATATATAATGATACAAGAAAGAATAATTACTTAATTAATCTAAGTGTAGTATTTTCCTTTTTTTTTTTATTTACATATTATTGGTGTTGACAAAGGGCATCATTTGAGGACGTCCACGCTTGAGACGCCGGAGAGAAAACTTATTATCACTGAATTTGAAGTGCTTTGTGCTTTTGGCGTTGTTTAGTTGGCCAAAAAAATTTACCGTGAGATTATGTATGTAGGGTTTAGTTTTTGGGAGTTTGAAGTCGGTATGAAGTGCTTCGTTTCTGATGAACCATGGTTCGTTGGATATTATACGTAATATCTTGGATTGGAAGACACGAATCTTATTTATGTGAGTTTTGTCACAGTTTCCCCAGATATTGGTAGCATAGAGAACTAATGGTCGTATAATTTGTTTGCAAAAAAGCAAGAAGCAATTCCAGTTTAAGGTGGTTTGACTGTTGATTAAAGGCTAGAGAATTTTAAATCGTCGGTAGCCTTGTTGTAGTTTCGAAGAAATTTGCAGGTTTCAAGTTAATTTTTTTTGTAAGATAACTCCTAGATATTTTATAGTTGGAGACCAGGATATGTTATCACCATTAAGCATTAGAGAGGGAGAGGTATTGGGACGACGAAATGTAAATAATACTGCTCTACTTTTTGAGAGGTTTAAGCACTTTATTTTGCTTAAGTGGCTCTGTATATTTTCAATGACAATGTGAGCGTTGCTAAAGCTTGAATAGACAACACTGTCATCTGCGTAAAAATAAACTTCTGTGTTAGATGTAGTAGGAAAGTCCGCGACATATAAATTAAAAAGTAGGAAAGAAATTTTAGATCCTTGGGGAACAATCGCTGTTATTTTTTTTTTTGTTACTGAGCTGGTGTCATTTATGCGAATTGATCAGTTTTTATATTATAGCTCATAAGATTTTTAATGATTGAAATTAATTTTTAAAAGAAAACATCTATATTTCATAGATGTTTTTACAATTAGTTTGTTTATTTTTAGTAATGTACAATATACCATTGTAGTTGTAATCACTTATCACAGAATACTGAACATAGATACCTACTAACTTTTGAATTATTTTAACATAAATATATTTAACATAAAATACATAAATGCACAAAAACATAAAAGAAAAATATGACACGAATAAAGTTTAAATTATGTAAGTTGTAAGCTTACAGTTTGTATATAACATCATCATCATAGTCGTCATAATAAGACCATTGAACGATAAAACTCTGAAAATGTCAGTAATTATGTTTTATGTACCCATTTTATATAATATTATGTATTATACCTATATTAAAAACTTTATTTTTAAGAACAATATATAAAGTAGATACCTATATGTATATAGTAGATTATAGTATATTGTATATTAATATKTTATTATGTTTTATGCTTAATGATAATAAAATGTAATATGAGTACATATTAGTATATAACTGATCAAACAGTATAAGATATTCGGATATTCCATCGCTTTTATAGATAAAATGAGTCTTAAGAGGATGCTACACCCGCATGTGCTGTCTCCGTCTTACACGCGTACTACATAACAAATTTTYGTTCGCTAKATTCAATAGTGTGCTGTTAGTTTTGATATTAGAGTGAATTGACCCATTATCAAACTTTTAGGTAGGAACATTATCTGTGTTCTCATGTTGGTTTTTTACGATATTTTAATTTTTAAATAAGTTATGAGCATGTTAAGTGTGAATATTTTAAAATTCACATAACTCATTTAAAAATTAAAATATCGTAAAAAACCAACATGAGAACACAGATAATGTTCCTACCTAAAAGTTTGATAATGGGTCAATTCACTCTAATATCAAAACTAACAGCACAATATTGAATCTAGTGAACGAAAATTTGCTTTGTAGTAGTAAGACAGAGACGACACATGTGGGTGTAGCGTCCTCTTAAGTGAGAACTTAAATTTAAGATTTTCAACAATTTTTAACTACCAATACATTACAATACGATGATATGAATTAACTTTTCTTTTTCTGCCACAATAGGGTGGTGAATCAATAAGGTATAAATTGAAAGCTTAACCTATTGAGTACTGACACCATAACTAAAAAATAGAAATTCTAGTAGACAGACATAAAAAAATAAATATATGCAAAATATTTGCTTTTCAATTTTTTTTAATGATTTATAACAAAAAATAAAAATATAGTTTTATGAAAAAAATCGTTTTATCGCATAAAAACAGCATGCAATTTATCTTCTGAAATTACATTGTTGAAAGGAAATGATTAGATAGTTTTACCTAAATTCTGTCTTTAAAATAACTTTTAATTTTCTCAGCTACCAACCATTTTATTCAATGTATTTTTATGACTACAAGTTTTTATTTGGTACTTATTAAATTATAAAAAAAATATTATACGTATAACAAAAACTGTAGTTTTGAAATCCTTGCTAACAAACTAAAATTCAAATTAAATTTTTATGAGCATTTGAAATTTAAATTTGTACAACATTGGATTTTCACTTTTAGCGATTTCCTTATTTTGGTGTAACTCTAAAACAAATGACCGCAGATACTTGAAATTTTGACAGAATATTTATATAGGCATTTTATATATTTGATAAAATTTTCAAAATATTTAGATTTGTTTTGAGCTGTTAACTGAAATTTTAATTTTTTAGTTTTTTTCTATAAATATCGATAAAAAATTATTTGTTCGGTAGAAAAGCTTGAAAATTTAATACAAGGCTTCTAACACATTTGAACAATAGCAGTTGAAAAATAAAATAAATTCATGTTCACCATTTTTTTTTTAAGGATTCAAAATTTGAATTTTGACAACATACGTAAAAATCATGAAAATTCATAAATTATTTTATCCTAGAAATTCATAAAAAATTTTCCTTTTATTCCTAAGATTT